AAGGAAGGAGAGAAACATCGATGTGAGAGAGTCACATTGACTGGTTGCCTCCCATACATGCCCCAACTGGGGTGGGGGATTGAACCTGCAACCCACGTACATGCCCTTGACTGGGATTCGAACCTGAGACCCTTCAGTGTGCTGGCTGATGCTCTCACCACTAAGCCACATTGACCAGGGCTATTATAACTTATTGTTTAGATTCATACTTAGGTATTACCTTATATACTTAAAAAATCAAAATCTTACTGAAAAACAATGGTCAACACTAGGATATATTCATGGGCCCTTAAACAGAATAAAAACATTATCATCAACTGTATCTGGCTTTTCGATGATTTCATTTACCTTTAGTTTCCTCCTTGCATTGAATTTCCTCAGCTGCTCTACTGTTTCTGGAAGATGAATCTTGTAGGCATAACGATCTCTCTCCTATAAAAGAAGAAAAAGAATGAATACCCCTAACTGTTTTAGAAAGTGAAGAAGCTTAACCTAAAACAAACAATAAAGTCTAAGTTCTCAAATGTGAAACTCAGATTGAATTCTGGAGATTTTGTTCCATGATACTGGTAAACATTCTCAAATGAGGCATATGAAGGTCAAAACTAATAGAAAAACAATATTTTATTTTCAGCAATAATAAAGGCCAGAAATAATGAGATATAATTTTAAAATATATGGCTAAAATAATTAATCATATGATGATTAAGGTATGAAGTTACCTTTGACATGATCTTGTCAGGTAAAATGAGCATTTGAAAATTTAAATCCACAACTGATTCGGCATTCTGAGTTGTTAGCGAAAACTGGATTAAAAAAAATCACATCATCTTCGAACCTCAGCAAACTTCAAGGCCATCTAATTCAACCATTTCCCCATGTGGGATCCCCTTCAATCCCTGATGGATGATCATTCTTTTTGACCTTGTCCAGTAGGGCGGCATTACTTTATGGCAGCCCATTACAATTTTAAGAAAGTGAAAAAGTTCTTACTCAGCCTGGGCCCATATCTGGCTTGTTTGGGCTAGCTCTGTCTCCTGGGGCATCACAGAACAGACTCCTTCCTGCATATAATACCCCTTCGGTAGTTAAGAGAGGGATCACACTTCCACTAAATCTATTCTCCTCTGTGATAATGTCTCCTCCACTTGTCTCAACTATTCCTCATGTATATTTCAAAGCACTTGTCATTCTTCTTTGGTTCTACACTAATTTGTTAATTATCTTAAAGATTTATATGCTATAAGGATTCATTTCAGAAAGATTTCTTGAGAGCTACTATGTGCCAGACATTGTTCCATGTACCTGGGATACACACGTAAACAAAACCAACAAACATTCAGGCCCTCATGTAGCTCATATTCTGGTGGGAGAAGATAAAAAAATACCAAAAAGGTAAGTTATGGAGTATGTTAAAAATGCTATGGAATAAAGCAAAAAGTAAAGTAGAGTAAGAGGGATTGGGAATATTGCAAGTTAAAATGGGGAAAAAATGGGACATCTGTAATACTTTCAACTATAAAAAAAAATAAAAAAAAAATAGGCAGTAAGTACAGGAACAAAAACTTGAACATTCCCAACATTCACAGAAAGAAGATAAATATATTTCTTCTTCAAGTGATAGTAATACTTTGGTGTTGCCACCTCCTTTTACAGTGAAGTGATGTAAGCTAAACATTGGGGAGACACATGAATAATGTTAAAAGGTTTTAATCTTTTCTTCTTTTTTTTTTTTTTACTTTATCTTTATTGTTGAGACCATTACAGATTTCCTCCTTTTAACCCTACTGATCCCCTCCACCCCACATCCACCTCACCCCCAGGCCCTCCCCACACCAATGTCCATGGACCATGCCCATAAACATATAAGTTCCTTAATTAATCTCTCCCCACCCATACCCCCCTCCCTGCCTTCCCTCTGAGATCCCCCAGTCTGTTCCTAGCTTCTATGTTACTGGATCCACTTTGTTCATCAGTTTATTTTGTTTATTATATTCCACATATAAGCGAGATCATTTGTACTTGTCTTTCTCCGACTGGCTCATTTCACTTAGCGTAATACTCTCTAGTTCCCTCCATGCTGTGCCAAAGGCCAAAAGGTCCTTCCTCTTCACAGCTGCACAGTACTCCATGGTGTAAATGTGCCACAGCTTTTTCGCCCACTCATCTACGGATGGGCACTTGGGCTGTTAACAAATCTTAGCTATTGTGAATTGCGCTGCTATGAACATAGGGGTGCATAAGTTCTTTGTGATTGGTGTTTGGGGCTCCTTAGGATATATTCCCAGAAATGGGGTCATGGGGTCAAATGGCAGGTCAATTTTTAATCTTTTGAGGAAACTCCATACTGTTTTCCATAGTGGCTGCACCAGTCTGCATTCCCACCAGCAGTGTACTAGGGTGCCCTTTTCTCCACACCCTCGCCAAGAAATAGAAGTCATAATAGAAACCCAATGTGAAAATCTCAGTTGAACTTCTTTTGGGGGAGGAGGGGGAGAATAAAGAGAAGCTACCAATAATCTTTCAGTCTTAGAAATATTTAATAAGTGTATTAGATTTTTTCCAATTTTCTTTCAGTTNATCCTTTTCTCCACACCCTCGCCAGTACCTGTAGTTCATTGACTTTTTGATGGTAGCCATTCTGACAGGTGTGAAGTGATACCTCATTGTGGTTTTAATTTGCATCTCTCTGATGATTAGTGACTTTGAGCATTTTTTGTGTCTCATGGCCATCTGTATTTCCTCTTTGGAGAAGTGTCTATTTGGGTCCTTTGCCCATTTTTTAATTGGATTGTTTGTCTTCCTTTGTTAAGTTGTCTGAGTTCCTTATATATTTTGGATATTAACCCTTTATCAGATGTGTCGTTGGCAAATATGTTCTCCCATACGGTGGGCTCCCTTTTCATTTTGTTGATGGTTTCGTTTGCTGTGCAGAAGCTTTTTATTTTGATGCAGCCCCACTTGTTTATTTTCTCCTTTGTTTCTCTTGCCCTGGGAGATGTATCAGCAAACATATTGCTATGAGAGATGTCTGAGATTTTNAGAGATGTCTGAGATGTTGCTGCCTATGTTTTCCTCTAGGATTTTTATGGTTTCATGTCTTACATTTAAGTCTTATCCACTTTGAATTTAGTTTTGTGTATGGTGTAAGGTGGTGGTCTAGTTTCACTTTTTTTTGCCTGTATCTGTCCAATTTTTCACCATTTATTGAAGAGACTGTCTTTACTCCATTGTATGTTCTTGCCTCCTTTGTCAAACATTAATTGACCATAAAGGCATGGGTCAATTTCTGGGTTCTGGGTTCTGTTCCACTGATCTATATGTCTATTCTTGTGCCAGTACCAGGCAGTTTTGATGACAGTGGCTTTGTAGTATAACTTGATATCTGGTATTGTGATCCCTCCAACTTGGTTCTTCTTTCTCAAGATTGCGGAGGCTATTTGGGGTCTTTTTTGGTTCCATATAAATTTTCGATTTGTTCTAAATCTGTGAAATATGCTGTTGGTATTTTAACAGGGACTGCATTGAATTTATAGATTGCTTTGGGTAATACGGACATTTTAATGATGTTAATTCTTCCAACCCATGAACATGGTATATTTTTCCATTTGTTTATATCATCCTCTATTTCTTTTTTCAGTGTCCTATAGTTTTTTGAGTACAGGTCATTTACATCTTTGGTAAGTTTATTCCTAGGTATCTTATTTTTTTAGTGGCAATGGTAAAAGGGATTTTCTTTTAGTTTCTCTTTCTGAGAGTTCATTATTGGTGTATAAAAATACCATGGATTTCTGGGTGTTAATTTTGTATCTTGTTACCTTGCGGAATTCATTTATTAAATCTAGTAGTTTTCTGGTGGAGTCTTTAGGATTTTCTATGTACAGTATCATGTCATCTGCAAATAATGACAGTTTTGTTTCCTCCTTTCCAATTTGGATACCTTTTATGTTTTCTTCTTGTCTAATCGCTGTGGCTAGGACTTCCAGTAGTATGTTGAATAAGAGTGGTGAAAGTGGACACCCCTGTCTTGTTCCTGTTCTTAGGGGAAATGGTTTTCGTTTTTGACCATTGAGTATGATGTTGGCTGTAGGTTTGTCATATATGGCCTTTATTATGTTGAGGTATGATCCCTCTATTCCCACTTTGCTGAGAGTTTTTATCACAAATGGGTGTTGGTATNATGGGTTTTATCAAATGCTTTTTCTGCATCTATTCATAAGATCATGTGATATTTATCTTTCAATCTGTTTATGTGATGTATCACGTTTTTTGATTTGCAAAATTTGTACCAGCCTTGCATCCCTGGAATAAATCTCACTTGGTCATGGTGTATGATCTTTTTAATATATTGCTGGATCTGATTTGCTAATATTTTGTTGAGGATTTTTGCATCTATGTTTATCAGGGATATTGGCCTGCAATTCCCTTTCTTTGTAGTATCTTTATCGGGTTTTGTAATTAGGCTAATGCTGGCCTCGTTAAAAGAGTTTGGAAGTGTTCCTTCCTCTTGGATTTTTGAAATAATTTGAGGAGGGTAGGTGTTAATTCTTCTTTGAATGTTTGGAAAAACTATCCTGTGAAGCCATCCGGTCCAGGACTTTTGTGTTTTGGGAGCCCTTGGGTTACTGCTTCAACTTCATCAGCAGTTGTTGGTCTGTTTAAGCTTTCTGACTCTTCCTGATAGAGTTTTGAAAGGTTGTATTTTTCTAGGAATTCATCCATTTCATCCAGGTGGTACAGGTTGGTGGCATATAGTTGTTCATAGTATTTTCTTAAAATCCTTTTTATTTCTGTTGGGTCAGTTGTTATTTCACCTGTTTCATCTCTGATTTTGTTTATTTGGGTCCTCTTTGTTTCTTGATGAGTCTGGCTAAAGGTACATCAATCTTATTTATCTTTTCAAAGAACCAGCTCTCGGTTTCATTGCTCTTTTGTATTGTTTTTAGTCTCTATGTCATTTATTTCTGATATAATCTTTATTATTTCTTTCCTTCTACTTACTCTAGGCTTTTCTTCTTGTTCTCTAAGTTTATGAGTTGTGGGGTTAAAGATTCTATTAGAAGTCCGTGTTTTGTTTTGTGAGGTAGACTTGTAGTGCTATAAACTTCCCTCTCAGGACTGCTTTCACTGTGTCCCATAGGTTTGGAGTTGTTGTGTGTTCATTTTCATCTTTTTCCAGGAAGTTTTTTATTTCTTTCTTGATCTCTTTGGTAACGCATTCATTGTTTAAAAACATGCTTTTCAGTCTCTATGTGTTTAAATGTCTTTTAGTGTTTTTATTGTAGTTGATTTCTAGTTTCATGCCATCGTGATATGAGAAGATGCTTGATATGTTTTCAATCTTCTTGAACTTATAGAGACTTATTTTGTGTCCTAACATGTGGTCTATCTTTGAGAATGTCCCATGTGCACTTGAGAAGAATGTACATTCT